TCACTGTTGAAATGCTTTCAAGTAACAGGACAAGAAAAGCTCTGTATTAGTTTACCCTTCAATATGCCCTCAAGAGCAAGCTGCCTATGAGAAACATGTCAAAAAGCTCACATGTCCTCTGTTGCTTAGGTTATGATAACGTGCTTACAGGGAGAAAAAAAGAATGAGTTAATTTTTACAGGGAGAAAACAGATTAAGAATATTTCTTTGGGTCCTGGCTGATGTGGTTCAGTAGACTGAGCACTGGCCTGTGAACTGAAAGGTCATTGGTTCAACTCCCAGCCAGGGCACATGCCTGGGTTGCAGGCCAGGTCCCCAGTTGGGGGCATCTGACAGACAACAGATTGATGTTTCTCTCCCTCTCTTTTTCCTTCTCTTCCCCTCTCTCTAAAAATAAATACATTAAAAAAAAATTTTAAGGGTATTTCTTTGAAATTTACAAAGGCCACCAGAGTGGGTTACCTGCTGACAAGCTCCCCTCCCAATAATGTAAAATACAAATGCAAATCCCACACAGTATTTAAAGGGATTCTCTCTGAAACTGCAGTAACACAGAATAACATGTCTCACATAAGTCACAGATGTGTAGTAAAAGACTCCAATGATGCAATCACAAGCAATACTGATGATGGCTAAGCTTATTTAGCATACACACTTTCTAAAACATCTATAACATACCCAATGATTAAAATAATTCTAGAATAGCTATTATCTACAAACAGAAGAACAGGTAAATCTGTTTCCTGGGCAACTTCTGAATGAGTTAATTATCTAAACGTAACATCAACTTGGCAATTTTTATTTAAAAAGTTACACTATGAAATTTATATATTGGTCACAAGTCTGTACAGTTTAGGTAATTATAAATTCATCATTAACAATAAACTGTAAGCTACGTTTGCTCACAAAATGTAAGCTAAATACACATGACGAATATGCAAAGTCAGTCAACCCTAGGACAACGGGCTGTCTGAAGAGAAGTACCTTTGTGCAGAACACACCACCCCTGGGGCTCACACGGAACTGGAAACCTCACCTTCCCTTTTCCCTTCAATGACATGCCACCAGGTCCTCCACTACCGAACTTAAATTACAAGTGCTTGAAACACACGGGATTAAACAGGAAGAATATATAATTTCCTCACCAAAAAATACAATAAAAGCAATTATATTAGTTTTCTTTTGTTCTTAGACCATCTCTAAAATAATGAAAAATAAAAACACGGATGCTCTTATCACAACTTAAACAGTCCCCTAGAGATTTCAATTTCTGGTTAATGTATGCCTGTCAAATATACATAGACCAGTTTGTCTGGTCAAAGTGGTTAAATTATGTGTGAATTCGACCCTAAGAGAAAGCAGCATTATAAGAAACCCTTTATTCCTGGGGAATAAAAATCATCCAAAGCAACAGGCATTTATAAACTACGTTGACGTAACCATTTCTGCTGTCTCCTGTGCTCTTGCCTTCAGTGATGCGAGTTGCACAACGTATCCTCACTACACTTACTATGGTCGGAATGCTGCAGATGACATTTAAGCATACAAATGTCATGCCAAGACTTTCCCTGCCCTCAACCACCACTTCTTTAACAGACCAGCTGGGTGAAAGAGGCAGCAGCTTTAAGACGTGAAAGGTCAAAAGCTGAAACAACGAACTCAAGAAAGAAAAAAGGTATTAAGATCTTCCTTTATTACAAAGATGGTTAGGATTTCTCACTTGTAATTTATTTTGTACCTATGTGCAGAAGTTTATAATCTGCAAACAGATGCACCAAATATTAGGTACTGTAATTCAATAAAGACTAGGATTTGAGGGTGCAAGGTGCATTTGGCTAGGTCCCACTGCTGAGGCTCAGAGTGCGCACTAGGTCGTACGATTAGTAAGAGTCAGAACTCGAATCTAAATGTGCCCGCAGCTCAAGCCTGTGTTTACCACCCTGTTCCAGTGCCCCTGGTGATCTGACATGGGTATGTACACATGAGGTCAGTGCGGAACAGGTGGTCAGATTCCTTCTTAGTTAAGACTAAAAATACAAATTACATACGTTTGATTTTGTTAGAACAAAGGGTGAAAGTATGCCATAAAAAGAATACAGAACAATGCCCTGGCTGGTGTGGCTCAGTTGGTTGGAGCATCACCCAGTACATCAAAAGGTTGCGGGTTTGATTCCTGGTCAGGGTACACACCTAGGAGGCAGGTTCAGTTCTGGTCCGGGCAGGAATGAGAGGCAATCAATCAATGTTTCTCTCTCACATCATGTTTCTCTCCCTCTCTTCCTCCCTCCCTTCCCCTCTGTAAAATCAATAAACATGTCCTTGGGTGAGGATTAAAAATAAAGTATACATAACAACTAAACTTCATGAGTGATGAAAGAACTATTTAAAACATAAACCTAAAAAAAATTGTCCAAGTTGCTTTTGCTTTGAGCTAATTTCCAAGAACAGATACAAGAAATGCAACTTTGTAGCAACGATACAGAAGTCTCCAGCAAGTTACACAGAGTAAACTACAACACGTTTAAAATTTAGACAACAGCCATGTATCTATACCTGAGGGTCTGATAAAGGCAACTTGCACCCCAAAAAGAACAAACACTAAACATTTCCGTCTCTTTTACCTTAACCTCAAATTTCTGCCTGGAGTCTTCAGTTTCCTTTAGAGACAGAAATCTGGGAAGCCAACCCTGGCCCCTGCCCGCCTTCTCCAAGCACGCCAGCTGCACTGCTATCTGAGGCACTGGGCCAAAGAGTACTGTCACGCATTCGCTCTACCTTTGGTAGAAATGATTTTTAAAAAAGACTTTATTTATTTATTTTTAGAGAGAGGGGAAGGCAGGGAGAAAGAAAGGGAGAGAAACATCAATGTGTGGTTGCCTCTTGAGCGCTCCCCACTGGGGACCTGGCCTGCAACCCAGGTATGAGCTGCCCCGAATATTTCTAAAATTGTTACCCGCTTGGAGAAACAGGTGAAGCTGAAGGCTGACCTCAACGCACGGAGAGATTTTTAAACAAGCCAGGGGGGTTTTCTTAGCATCCATTTGAAATGCGTTAAATTTTGGAATAACAAAGCCCATCTTATTTTCCTGGTGCAGAAGAAACCTGTGACGTTTCCTTTGAGGGACTGAGAAAACATTTTTCAAGGGATAAAAGCTTCTGCAGCGAAATGACGACTCTGCATGACAATGACTTAAGCTAAATTGAAGTAATAAACCGACAAATGAGGATCTTACATTGGGCCCACCAAAATGTACTAATAATTTTTACGCAACATTAATACATACTTTCAGTGGATAAGAGTTTAAGGCAGGGAATCTATCTAGTTTATTTTTCTGGTGGATGAGAAATTTTAAATCGAGAAAAATCCAAAGATATGCACAAAAGGGCCAACAACTGAACAGTAAGCAATGACAAGTGATTAAAGCCAAAACACCAAGGTGCCGAGCTATAAGGAAGCTGCTGTTCACCTGGACCTTTGCCCAGAGCACAAAAATTGGAAGGAGAAACACTGGTGGTTTAAAGAGAACAAGGGTTCTAAATTTGCTGCCTCATGCCTTTATCTGGACAGGTAATCTTGACCTTGCAGAAGCTTCCTCTGCTTCTGTTTCTACCGAAATGGCCATAACCACATTGGAAAATCCATCTGGGTAAGAACCAAAGTTCTTACGTGGGAATCCACCGTTCAAAAACCACGCAGAGAATATATTTAAAGCTAAGATCAGAAATTTTAAGTTCCTCATAATAATCAACCCAAGATTCTGGCAAAGGAGACAACGAAACATTTAAAAAAATCTCTCAAAATCTTTTAAGGTAACTGAACAGACAGCGACATTATCTATACTCTCCCAAGATTATGGCCCTTCCTTTGACAAAAAATCAACCCCCCCCCCGCTTTTTTTCTTCGGAGACTGAGTTCCTTTAAAAACCACCACCTGCTCAGGGTGCTTTTTTTTTTTTTTCTCTCTCCTCGAGAAGGCATCTGCACTGCAGATCTCGGCCCGGGGGAGCTTGCCAGCCAGCTCCCACCAACAGGCAGACACTTATACAATGGAAACTAAAAGCGGCCTGCAGTTTCCCTCCTCGTCTTTCACAGAGAGGGAAGAAGGGGGTTCCCCCAGCCCCTGCTTTGTCTGAATATCTCCCCCTGCCCGCTATCTGCGGTAAACACCTCCTTTTGTTATACTGCGATCAATAGCAGCCCCTCACAGAGAGCATGAAATCAAAATATGGTGATGGCTGGGCCTGACTCTTGTTTATTATCTTCTAGAATATATGCGACTGATTGCCCGTCCCCACCCCCACGCCGCGCCAGGGAAGAGCAGGCTGTGTTGCAGATGCAGCCACGGATCCATCTTGGACCATCAGCAGCTCCCCCCCCCCCCCCAAATCTTCCCTGAGCTATTCTCATCACGCCTCCTTCCACCTCGCAGCCTCAGGAAAACTGGGCATTTCGGGAGTCGAGCTACAGAGAACTAAAGGCAGATAAAAAACGGTATAGAGAACGGCTGCAATGTTTCCAGTAAACGTTTTCGTCCTCCCCACCGACAACCCCCCCAAATTTTTGGACGATTACCACGAATGTCTGATTATGTCAACACCTGTGCGCAAACCTGCAATGCAACCCTTTCGCCACCATCCCCTTAAAATCGTAACTAATCATTTCCCCTACGACCAACCTGCCCAATCCTCTCAATCTCTCTAATCCTCCTCCTAAGTCACCCCGGTTCGGTGGACGGCTCCCCCGATCTGGTGGCGTTTTTCCCCAACTGGTCCTAGCGTTAACGCCCACTCTCTAGACTATCTCCCCGCCCCTAACCTGTTTTCTTCACACCCCGTTATTTCCACACCGCCTGAACGACCTTATGCTCCCCTCCCCCTTTAGCCCGTTGCCAGACGTCCGTCCCCGGGGCCGCAGCCTCCAGGAGGGAGGGTGATCGGCCGTCCCCTCGCCCCCCACCCCTCGCCCCTACTAGAGGGCGGGCTCCCCCGGCGCGCCTCACCCGCACAGGAGGAGCCGCAGCTCTTCGCCCCCTGGGCGGGGCAGGATCCTGGGCTCCCGCCGCCGCCGGGCGCGGAGGGCTCGGCTCCGGAGGACGAAGAGGAGACGGACGGGGACTGAGTGGCCGCCGACAGCTCCGCCATGGCTGCGCAAGGGCGAAAGAGGGGTGAAGAGAGATGTGGGGCGGGAGAGAGGGAGGGGAAAGAAAGTAATAGGACAGGGGTCTCTTCGAAATCGCTTCGCTCCTCCTGTTCCGAGGACAGACTCCGACAGACTGACTGACTGACTCAGCCGAGGACAGCGAGAGGGCGGGAGCGCGAGCGCGCAGGCGCACAAAAGGCCCTGGTGGGGGGGCGGCGGGGGCGGGCGGCGGCCGCGTGCAAGCGACCGGCGACGCAGGACGCAGGCGCAGGAACGGTCCCTCAGTGTTTCCGCAGGGAAGGAGGGGCAAAACTGGCTTCCCGCCGCGCCCCTCCAGAAGCCGACGCAAGGGGCGTGACCAAACATCAAGCCCCGCCCACCACTGCAACCGAAGTGGGAGGGGGTCCTGCGAATTAGGGTTCCTTCATAATTATGAATGTTTTTAGGTTGGGTAGATTACGTGTTTTAACAATAGACGTTTCCTTTTGCTTCCAGTTAGGTGGAGAATATCGTTCCCATCAATTCCAGAGGGGCTGTCTTTGTTCGATGGGTTCCCACCTGTGACTCCAATGAAAAGTGAAAACCACAGTGTGGAGTAGGCCCACTCCACCAGGTACTTTATGAATTTTTCAGGATATGTCATAATATCTTACAACCATGAGGCAGAGATGGCACGGTCTCCCATTTGGTAGGTGGAAAAGGCTGCTGTGCAGACTGAAAAACTATTACTCATTCCAATCACATTGCATTGCAGCCGCAAAACCTGCTTCAAATTCGTATCTTGTTACTGCTCTTCCCAAAGAGGTGTCTGGTCCACTTTGGGTCTTAAGGTCGACGTTTCCTACGAATAGGTGATCAAGTAGAGAAGACCAGTTTCGAAGAATAAAAACATGAGCTACTGAAAAAAGGAGAGCCTAGAGATAGCATCCTGGCTATGCTTAAGGGTGATGGTAAATGAGGTACTAAAAATTGAGAGTAAGGCACAGAATTCATGACTGAATTTTATCATAGCCTAAAAGGGGTCCTTATCAGAAAATGTATTTGAAACCAGATATCTAGCTTTTTTTTTTTTGGCTTCTCTTCATTTGGTTTGCAACATTCAAAGCCTTCTCTCTACATTTGGTCAAAATATTTGAAATGGGCATAATTCTTTTACAAAGGGGAACACAGACTGGAAATAATAAAAATCAAGGCTGTAGGCTTTGTTATTGCCGAAGCCACAATCGATGACCCAAAGGGCAACTGCAGCATCAGCAGATCCTGTAAAGATGCTGCATCATGAAGGATGAGGTATTCAGCCAGGCAGCCACCGTAAGGAAAAACAATCTGACCAGTGGAAATCTCCTAGAACAGACAGTGGTCTACACCTGCCCTTGACAGTTTTTAAGGTCAGGTAAAGCCCACGCAGGACAAAAACTCTTGGCTATTGCAACACTCTGAAAAGAGGCACAGAAGGATATTGCCTGAAATAACTTTGTGGCAAATATCTTACTCTGGCACTTACAGCATCAGTTGGTAATGCAGCAATCTGTCCTTTAGATGGCAAGGGGAAATGCAAGCCGAATGGATGACTAAGCCCATTCTGATACATGCACAAATTTAAAAAAATTATGTCAGTAGATGCTGGATAAGGAAGTGAATGATGCTAGTCCTTAACCCTGACAGCAACTGCTGGGATCTGGAGACCCTGGCTGGAAAGGAAACCCATTTCTATGACATCTAGAAGGAGCTAAAAGTCAAGACACAGATGTGGTCTGGGTGGTCTTTTCAGGCCCTTCAGATTTTTATATGAGACCTTTGTGCTAGGTCCACATCTTGAAGCTACCTTTCCTTCCTGCTCTCTCTTGTTTTACCGGGAAACTTCCCAGTGAGCGAGACCGACTCTTGTTTGGGATGTTATTTGTAAATGTGATTTAGTCTCCAGATGTTTACTGATCACCTGCTGTGTGTGTGTGTGTGTGTGTGAGACACTCTCCTGGAAAATCTGGAGGTATTCGAAAAATGTTTATCCTGTCTTCAATGAGCTTACAAGCTAGTTGAGACTTAGGTCATATAATTCACATGATGTTAAAAAACACAAATTAAATAGCAACCAAAAACAATCCCAAACAACACAAACCTCTAGTGCTATAATTAGATGGCAAATGAATTGTATAAATTTATGAGGGTAGGGTATCACTGTGAAGTTATAGTGCCTTTAGAAGGTTTTATGAAGATGCCCAAAGATAGGAATTTGGAGTGGTAAAGAGGTCATCGAAGGCAGGGGAAGAATGGAGTGAAACAGATACACAGTAAGACCTTCTGAGCAGACCAATCGTAAAAATGCACCCCTTCCTCCCAGCCCAGACTATGGTGCACTGCAGTGCTGGTTTATCTAGCAGAAGGAGCCAGATTTGATCACTTTTTGCTCCTTCCCTCCACAGGCTGCCTTAGTGTATGAATACCTAGGCCATCTGTGGTGGCTGGAGGCTCAGAAATGTGTCTGTGTATAAGGTGTCTTGGGTGTGGTTAACCAAGGTTGGCTAGAACCAAGGGCTTCAACTGGGACAAAGGGAAGATAAAATGAGGAAGTGTGTTGGGGCCAGAGTTTGGAGAAGCAGAATTATAGGACCAAAGTATTGAGGCTTTGTCTTAAGGCTAATGAGGATTCAGTGGTAGTTTTCAGGCAGGGAAAGGCCCCTATGAGATTTGTAAAGCGCTCCCAGGAGTGTAGCCACTGCTCAGGGCTTCTACTGAGCAATTTTTTAAAAAGTATTTATTTATTTATTTTTAGAGAGAGTAAAGGAAGGAAAAAGAGAAGGAGAGAAACATCAATATGTAAGAGAAACCATGGATTGCTTCTTCTTGCGTGTCCCCAACCGGATACCTGGCCTGACCGGGAATCAAACTAGCAACCTTTTGGTTCACAGGCCAACACTCAATCTGCTGAGCCACACCCACCAAGCATATTGAGTCGTTTTTAATGCTGAGGCACTGGGCGGGGCCTGTTCTTCCTTGGTCCTGTCCTTATGGGATTGGTATTTACATAGCTAATTTCCCACCTCATTTTAGCTTTTAGGCCATCTCATTACCCCAGTGTGACTTTTACAAAATATTGTGTATTTTAATTAAACATTTTAAAATATAGCACTGGTTGGTGTGGCTCAGTGGATTGATTGTCGGCCTGTGAACCAAAAGGTCGAAGGTTCAATTCCCAGTCAGGGCACATGCCCGGGTTGTGGGCCAGGCCTCCCAGCTCGGGGCGGTTCGAGAGGCAACTGATTCATGTATCTGTCGCACATCAATGTTTCTCTCCCTCTCTTTCTCCCTCCTTTCCCCTCTCTAAATAGAAATAAGTAAAATCTAAAAAGATAAAAGAAACCTCAGCCATCCAGTGTGGGTCCAACCTCAGGCTGTTTGAACAGCCAAACCCCATCTGTCTGACATTCAGCTGGCCAATAGAGCCACAGAATTTCCATCCAGCACCCATGGCCCAGTTTGTCTGTAGCCTCACAGAGAAGGCCCCAGTGCTGGCGAATGCTGCTGTGACTGACTCAAAACCTTGATGGGCCACATTCTGGCACTGTGCCAGGCTTGAGCTGATTCCTCCGGCCCCTGCTGAGATCCCAACAGCTATTTAGAGCTTGAAAAAATAGTCAGTAGTGCTCAAACTGGTAGCTTCAAACAGCTTGCAGTTAAGAAAGCTCTGCTGAATGGTTTGGCGGCCACTGAGGTGTGGCTGTGGTTCTATGTCGGCGAGATCATAGGCAAGCGTGGCATCGTTGGCTATAATGTCTGAAGACCAATCTTGAAGTGGTCAAAATGATATTTGAATAAAAACAGATATTGCAAAATAGATATATGCATATTCACATCGTATATATGTTCATGCACACATATTTTTCAAAAGCATATACGGTGTACTATAAAGTTTCTTCTATGCTGACTCCTCTCACGCACCAGTCTCTCCCTCCATATACACATGGTAACAACTGTTTGGAGCTTTTTTGTGGTAAATGCAAGGGGCGTAAAGCAAATCTATGTCTTCATCTACCCGTTTTAATACAAACGATAGTGTGCTATACACATCATTAGTTAATCTTGCTTCTTTAAGAGTAAATTCTAGGGATCTCTCCTGGCATCTTTCTGAAATGTTAGACAGCTGTTCTGTTGGCTGAAATAACAGTAATGAAGCAGCGGAAAGGTCTTGAGCTTTTACTGTGTCACCATGTTGAGGGACTGACATTCAGCTTTGTAACACTCTGTGAGTTGGGGTTGACTATTTTCTTTTTATAAACTAGGACACCAAGTCATTACCTCATTTTTCACATGATGAAGTAAGAATTTGTATTTAGATAACATTTCGGGATGCCAGTAGTCCAGTCTGTCCCTTCTGAGTGCCCATACTATTGCTCAAACGTGGGTTTTGCAAGGGAGTGGTAGGAGAGAAGGCGGAACTGTGCTGGGACACAGTCACAGCGGGTGACTTACTTGGCTATTTACCCCACAAGACCGTGAGTGTCTGTGGGACAGGAATGTACTTTATGCATTGCTGCAGCATTACTGTCTAGCACTGTGCTTGGTACATCACAAATGCCCTATTTCTGAAAGCTTTGTAACCTGAGTCACAGCAGATATAATTGCAGAAAACAATTTTGCTATTTTTGTGCTTCATAATAATACCTGAGTATCCCAAATATGAAGAATGGCTTTGTTTGGCTTTCTCGGAATGAATGAGGATAACCAATTTTTGAGCACTAACCATGCATCAGTCGTAATTACCAAACATATCTCATTTAATTGACAACTCTGTGAGTAGTCAAAATCATTTGACAGATGATGAAATGAGTTGAAAAAAGTTAAGTATCTCACTCAAGCTTGGGCAGCTGCTGAGCATCAGGGTCAGAATTTAAAGCCACTGGCCTTAACCATCCAAACATGTCGACATGTCACCTACTTATGGAAAGCCACAAGCGAAGCTCAGCCTCTGGTCACACCATGACTCAATTCAGGGGGAGAGGGTGGAAGGCAGGCTATAATCAGTGTTACCATATTTACCATTTGGAGTGGCCACTGTTTTGATGGTCCTGGCAAGTTGAGAAGGAAACGGCAACAACAAAACATGTTCCTCGTTCAAGTCTGCCTATAATTTGTACCGTGTTATTTCAAATGCCCAAAACTTCCACAACGTATGGAAAAGGCTGATACTGGCTAACACTCTCCTTGATTAAGTTATATTGGGATGGGTGTCACATTAGTATTTGGTGGTCACTTCCGGACAGGATGGCTTTCCACGGGTATCTGATGGTGGTCCTTAAAATAGAATGGGGTATTTGTTCCAATGCAAAAGCGGATATTTAATATTTGAGGAACAAGAAAGTGCGTGAGCAGTGTTAGTTGTAACATATTCCTTCTTTATTCATCCATTTAAAAATATTTGAGCTTTTACTATCTAACTGGCACTGCTGAGGCACTGGGGGTGTAGTAGTAAACAAAAACAGACAATTCCTGTCTGTTTGGAACTTACATTCTAGGGGGAAGAGATGAACAAAAATAGAACAAGTCAGATAATCGGTCTTTTGGACAAGGCCAGGGAAAGGGAATAGAAAATGCTGGGGTGTGTCCAATTTTAAATCCTTACACTGTGTGTTACAATTCTGACTAGTCATTGGCCTTTAGTCCTTCTCTCTGAGTCTAACAAATAATGTCCTAGATTTGTGTCACGTCATGTAGGTCCTGTCTTCTGCACCTGGTGTGAAACTTGAGTAACCACTTGCCCTGATGTTCATGTCTCGTTCGTTGCTGCCCCAGCTGGTCTACATCAGGTCTAGATTCTTCAATCTAAGGCCTGAATGAGGGTATTCAAATAATCTTCAGAGTTTGGGGAGAATCAGAAGGGGCAGGGGAAAAATAACACAGGACTTCTTTAGGTAAGATTTCACTTCTGACCTAACCACTAGCTGTTAAAAATAGCTTAAGGGCTTGGCAGGGCCTGGAGGTAGGTGGAAGGAGGTTCTAGGTAGGGCATAATAGTTCAGGGAGAGGCAGAAGAAAGTGAATAATTTGTCAAATGAAGGAGGCAATGGTGATGCCAGAGGTGGTGGTGGTGGTGTATGATAGATGCTTCCCGCTCCACCAGATACTTACCCCTACCTCAATAAACCCAAAATAGCACCACTATCCAATGGTGGCAACTGACATTTTCTCAGTCACACGTGAAGTGTGAATAAAAGCAATTCCGGAAATTCTTGTATTGATCTACCATTCCGTTTAAGAATGGGCCTGCAAAAGCAGCTTCAAAAAAGCTTCTGCAAACCTGAGGCTAACCAATGATGGCTATGGCTTAGGGTGGACAAAGCCGGTGGTGGTGGTGGTGGTGGTGGGGCGGGGGGGGAGTTCGCTGGAAGTCCTTACGTTAGCTGTTAAGAGTGGTGAGAGTGCACCACCAGGTTTGGCCGGGGATGGAAATAAGGGGTGATGAAATCACAGCCTCCTCTCCTTGTGAAGTCAAACTCGCTAAGAAACCGGTGCCGCCCACCTGTGGACCTGGCCAGCGTTAAGCACCAAATCCGTCTCAAACGCGGCCGGTGGGGGTTCGACGGCTGTTCGAAGCCGATTATCCCGAGGTCTAGGTGCGGCGGCAGAGACTCGCTGTAGGGCTCCGGCCCAGTAAGGCTCCAGCCCGGTCGGCCCTCACCTCCCGGCAAGGCCTGCTGGGAATTGTAGTTCAGTTGTCGAAGAGCCGCGAGAAGCCCCATCCTTCTCTTCTGCTTCCTGCCCCCCGGGATGAGTCCGCAGAACAGGGGGAGCTGGAAGGGACCCAGAGCGCACGGGGCTCCCATTCCTAACGGACCGTCGTCCTCAGGGCGCAGTCCCAGGTAGACGGCGGCGCGCCTCGCGCTCCCGCGCACGCGCACTCACGTCGGCGGTGGCGGGATTCGGCCGCGTGCGCCTTCCCGCTCCGGCCTCGCGTCGGGCCTCGCCCAGCCGCCCTGCGCTCGCTCCCCCGCGGTTCCGCGCGCCCCTCCTCCCCAGTTTCTGCCACTGCCCAGGCCCCGCCCGTTTCTCGCCTCCAGGGCCTGGTTCGTTCCCGCCCAAGCCCTCCCCTGTCTGAGCCCCTGCTGCTTCTGCTGAAAGCTGAGGCTCCATGTTTTCTCCCCAGCGAGCGGTAGCGGCAGTCTCGGGAGGAGCAGGTGAGGCGCCTAATTCCCCCCGAGCTCGCTCTATGGCCAACCCCGCTGCCCTCCCTGCTAGAGCTTGGAGGAGGCCGCCCGTTCGCATCGCTGTCTCTCCTTGTCCCGGGGCTGGAACCGCACGCCCCACACTGGGGTCCCTCGGCCCGCGGATGCGGGGCTGGGGGCTGCTCGCAGGCCCGGGTCGATCGGCCGCGGGCGGCGCCCTGCTGGGCCCCCTGTTCGGAGCGGCCGCCTTCGGGGGTCGGGCTCTGCGCCCGGGAAAGGCCGCCAGTGCTCCTCTGGGCTGTTGCTGCGAGTCTGGCGCCCCCGCACTCTCTGGGGCGGCCCCGGGGGCCGGTGGTCACGGGGCGCCGTCCAGGGGCTCCTGCCGCGCTCGGGCAGAGCCCGGCGCTCCGGGGCTGCGGTCCTCTTTTTGCGTGGGCGCCTCGCACGCTTGGGGACCGCGACCCTTGGGCGGGTAGCTCTAGCCTGGTTAACGGGCGGAGGGAGCGGGAAGGCAGATGCTTTATCATTGTTCAGCCTTTTAGGAAGGGCTTGGAGGGCTGCGAGGCGTTTGAGAATTGGATACTTTTGTTTTTCATCCTAACGACCTTGAGACACGGACAAGAAGTGTTAAGAAAGTTGATTTCCAACGCACACTTTATCTCCGCAGAGGTGATGAAAAGAATGTGGCCTACATTATTTTTTAGGAAGTTCTTTTAGTACGTTTGGCACCGTACGCTGTTCTTTGGCCTTCCTGGAGAGAAAAAAAAACAGTAAACGTGTTGAATAAAAACCAAACACAGAGTCACCATGAATTTCACGGGTACGACTTTTGTCGTTTACCTGGTTTTATCCTCGGGTAGCGTGCGTGCTGTTGAAATTGTCATTAGTTTTACTTGCGAAATCCAAAGGCAAGAAAAGAAAGAGCGTCATTTGAAGAATCTTTTAGTAAATAAACCCCGGCCCTCAAATTTAATTACGGAGTTGGGTGTGATGTTTTGTGAAAGGGAGAAGAGTACTGACGGACCAAAAACGTGATTTCACATTTTGGCCCGTTTTTGGAGAAGTAAAACCTACATAGTTTTAATCCGCGGCAATCACTGAGCATTGCAATGTACTGAAACTCTGAAATTAGAGCTGGTTTTCAACCCTGTAGAAACTAGTTTGTACTGTGGTCTAGAAATCCCTGATGTTGCCGCTTTATCCAAAGCAAACGCTTGGATGAAAAGTTCTCTATGCAATGAAGCCATTCCACTGGGACAGCACGCTGTTTTATTAGCTATGGTTTATCTCATTGGAGTAAACGTGAAATTAAGAAAAATAACAATAAATATGACGAGGTGTACTAACATTTTTGTAGTTTTACTAAATAGGGTTTGTTTAGACTAGACTTAAAATATTGGTGCAGCACATGCATTTTTCATTTTTATGATTTCTAAACCATAGAATAAAGAATGTAGTCACACAAATTACCTAAAATTAAGTAATAGAGAATTGTAAGAAGAAATCTAAAGTGGATTCTACCTCCTCAGTTCCCCAGTGGTCGTTATGAACAGTTCGGTCACATACAATATTATGTATTTGTTTTGGGGGTCACATACTCTTATAAGATTCCTATGAAGTAACTTACGTAACCCTAGCTTGTGTGAACTTGCTTAAGAACTGGTTTAGAATTTACCTATAATGCTAGGTGTGCCTGTTGAAGTTTCTACAGCCTTGTATTTCATATTCAATTCAAATAACACAACTATGCTTTAAAGTTAGTCTCAATTTTAAAACATTTTCCTAAGTTGTCCTTGACATTTCAGGAGCATATTCTGAAAAAAAAAAAAAAATCAAGGGGAAAAGAGAGAGGATAATTTTTATTTAAAAGAAAAATCATTTAGTTCTTATAGTGTTGCAGTTCTCAGCACTGCTGTGCGTTAAAATAACTTGGGGTTTTTAAAACCTGCCAGTACTTGAGACCCACCCACAGATTCTGATTTAAATCACTGAGTAGTCAGACAACAGTTAAAAAAAATCCAAGTCTACTTTTCCTACTAATTTATAACCTAATTTCCCTATAGGTGGTTGCTTAAATTTGAATCGGTTTATTATCAGTACAGCAAGTTATAACTTGTAATATCAATATTTGTATTAAAAGTCGATGTTCTTCATTGCAAATATCTAAAAAATTGTTTTTATTGTCATGTATTTTGATTATTAGAACATGTGAGATATATTTCATCACCAAAGAATATTACAAATCGAAACAGGCTCTACTGGTCTAGTAGGCAGGTAAGCAAAGGGTTAGATTAACTCTTTTGTGTCTTGAAATAACAAGGAATCTAAGGCAAATAAATATTGCCAATTAAAAAAGCCTGGTTAAACTGGAACACATAATTAAAACCTTCAGGTAATGAGAATGATTTTGGTGGTAGTCTTATTTTTAGGGATGAGTCAAATAACATGAATATTGAACGCATTCTATGAAAAAGATATTTTTCCTCTAGTACATATAACCTGGCATCATTTTTAGCATTTTTAGCATTTCTGAATCTTTAATACTGTTTAGTCATAATTGATCTTCATAAATTATGAAGCTCTGCAAAAATCTTCATTAAAATTTTTATTGTATTTCAATATTCTTTTTGTAAAGAAGATATTATTTATTTATTTTTAGAGAGAGGAAGGGAGGGAGAAAGAGAGGGAGAGACACATTAATGTGTGGTTGCCTCTTGTGCATCCCCTACTGGGGACCTGGCCTGCAACCCAGTCATCAGTCCTAGACTGGGAATTGAACCAGCGACCCTTTGGTTTGCGGGCCGGCACCCAATCTTCTGAACCACACACCAGCTAGGGCTTTCAACATTCTTAATTGACAAAAAAAAAAAAAAAATGTGGTTTTGTTCAGCATTCTGTGCTAAAGTATGAAGATCTGCAACAGATGAATTGGGAAGAAGCTTCCTCTAAAACCCTTTAATTAAGTAGGGTGTAAATTTCCACCAGTATTCTGTTTGGTTGGGTTTAAAAGTAGTATTTCCACTGAAAGAGCCTTAAAAATCTGTGTATCTACCATCGTATGCCTACCTTAAGACAAAAGAGAGCACAGAAGAGTACTTCCTCACCATCCCCAAAGAGGAACCACACCCTGTAGTTCGAGAGTTGGCCGACGGCCAAGTGTACGTACTTTCTCATATGGTGATGTTTTCTCTGGCCGGGTCTGTGAATTAGGAACTTTAAAGACTGCCAGCAAGAACAAGGCATGAAAATGGTATGCTTCTGTTTGGGGTGTGTTGCTTTCTCCCCTTTAGATACTAATATTTCAAAAGATGAGTGGAAAAACTCGGTTCATAACTTTCCCCTGAGTCATGCAGTCTAGTTGGTGAAACGTTTCTAACAGGAGTCCATTTGCTGTTTGGAACTCTCTGGCTAGTACGGGTGAGCGCTGAGGCTCGCTCTACCCAGTTGGTTCGTATCTCGACTAATTTTGCTCCTTGGGACATTGGGCAAAGTCTGGAGACATTTGAGGGTCTCACAGTCAAGGGGGAGCACTGCTGCTATCTAGTGGGTAGAGGCCAGAAATGCTGTGAAATATCTTGCATTCAGCAGGATAGTTCCCGGCAAGGAAGAGTCACCCAGCCCACATGTCGGTAGTGCTGAGACTGAGAGACCCTGTCCTACTCTGTTGCCTTGGTCGACTAAATCCTGTGTGAATTTTCTGAAAGAGCAATTGTAACTGCTTCTAATCCACTAGTTTCATTGAATTTATCACAGTTCAGGTGGTCTTCTCAAATATTTGAGGGGTGTTTACATTTCTCGCTGTAATGTTTTTCTTTTTTTTTTGGTTCAAGTTTGAATCTCCATGCTTTTCTTTTTTAAATTACATTTTATTGATTATGCTATTATAGTTGTCCCATTTTTTCCCTTTTTGGCCCCTTCCACCCAGCACCCCCTACACCCTCAGAAATCCCCACACCTTTGTTCACGTCCATTGGTCATGTTATAAGTTCTTTGGCTACTCCATTTCCTACTGTACTTTACATCCCCATGGCTACTCTGTAACTATTTGTACTTCTTAATCCCCTCACCTCTTCACCCCTTCTCCCACACTCGCCTTCCATTGGGCAACCATCAAAATGCTCTCTGTATCCATGATTCTGTCTCTGTTCTTGTTCACTTAGCTTGTTTTTTAGATTCAGTTGTTGATATGTATTTATTGCCATTTTATTGTTCATAGTTTTGATCTTTTTCTTAAATAGATCCCTTTAACATTTCATATAATAATAGTTTGGTGATGATGAACTTGAGTGTTTTTTTTTGCCTGGAAAGTTCTTTATCTGCTCTTTGATTCTAAACGATAGCTTTGCTGGGTAGAGCAATCTTGGCTGTAGGTCCTTGTATTTCATGACTTTGAATATTTCTTGCCAATTCCTTCTAGCCTACGAAAAATTTTTTGAGCGATCAGCTGATAGTCTTATGGGAACTCCCCTGTGGGTAACTAACTGCTTTTTTCTTGCTGCTTTTAAGAGTCTCTCTTTGTCTTTAACCTTTGGCTTTTTTTTCTTTAAGATTTTATTTATTTTCAGAGAGATGGGAAGGGAGGGGGAGAAAGACAGGGAGAGAAACATTGATCAGTTGCCTATCACATGCCCCCAACTGGGGACCTGGCCTGCAACCCAGGCATGTGCTCTGACAGGGAATCAAACCAGGGACCTTCTGGTTCACAGACTGGCACTCAGTCCACTGAGCCACACCAGCCAGGGCACCTTTGGTATTTTAACTACGATGTGTCGTGGAGTGGGGCTCCTCACGTCCATCTGGTTTGGGACTCTGCTGCCTGGACTCGCATGTCTTTTCCTTTATCAAATTAGGGAGGTTTTCTTTCATTATTTTTTCAGATAGATTTCCAATTTCTCACTCTTTCTATTCTCCTTTTGGCACCCCCATGATGTGAATGTTGGACCTCTTGTAGTTGTCCCATGAGGCTGCTTACATTATCTTCATTTTTTAAAAATTCTTTTTTCTTCTTGTTC